ACAGCCTTGCCAGCGGAGAGTTGCCCTTTGGCGCCTGCTATCATTCGGTATAATTCTCGAACGCATTCATCCCTCACAGAATGTGAATATGGAGTTGATTTTTTCACGAGGTGCCAAAACATTAGAAGCAGCAGCTCAAGCGATAGCATTTTGCCAAAAGCGTAATACCAGTCAAATCAACAGATCTTTCACGCCACGAACCAGTGCAACCAGAAGAGTGATTTAATAGATAAAACTTTGTCAAAGGCAACCACTCATCGGGAATTTCATAATTCCTTTTTTCGAGCAATAACTGAGATCAGGTTGATGGCGGATTCATTTCTTTGATACGACACGTACACCGATGACTCGGAACAAATCACCACAGTCACCAATGGGGAAGAAAGGGGAAGGTTACTCAGTAAAACAGCGTAAATTTTAAATTTTCTAAGATAGGGTTCTACGCTTACTGAGCTCACTGCTGTCATAACTCTGAATTTCGCTGGATGTTTTTCCTTTTTTTTCAGTCTTTCTTCTCTACAAACAAGTCCGGTCCTCTAAATCTTAAATGCGCAAAGTATAGAGCCAGAATTTCTCTGCAAACGCCATGCGTAAAATGAACTTGCTCCCCATTCTAAGTAAGCCCAAAACTAGGAGGGAAAAAGCTGCAGAGTTCTCCCGCGCACCCAGAGACTTCACAAACTTGTGTTCTTGTTTGGTGCTTTGGCTCAAACCTAATAGCAGCGTCTTCTTCCTTCCTTCCTCTGTTTTCCACCCTCAATTCTGACCCAAACATGACGTCTGATAGTAACGATTTCCTCCTCCCTTTCTCTTTTCTTCCATCCTCAATTTGAAATCAAACTTTACGCTTGATAATAAAGATTTCCCCTTTCCTTTCTCTTTCTTTCCCACCCTTAATCTCCCGCCAAATCTTCTCCTCCCTTGCAGAAAAAACAAAATCACTTCCCTCCGTCCCTCCCAACCTTTAGTCTCTTCCATCCACCTCACTACCCTCGCATCACCTTCCTTCCATTTCAAGCATCTACCCATCCCAATTATTTCCTCCGAACACTGTCCACAGCATCAAGAGCACAGGTTCTTCATATACGAACCATACCGCCCAACATCCACCTCAACAGCGGCAGCAAAAAATGCGTCTTTGCAACCGTGAATTTGCTGTAGTATAAAAGAGTTCTAAACAGATTGAAGTATCCAGGTTGACCCTGGAAGTGCAGATGGCGAAGGTGCGAAGGAATTTAGGAGGAAAGAAAACTGAG